TTTGATATTTTTAAGTTTTCACGTTCTTGTTCATAATCATTATTTGTTTATAATAATTAAATTAACATTAGAGACGCTTTTTAGACATATTATAAATGATATTACTAAAATTACATTCATGATTAGTATCGATTATGTTATAATTGTTAGAAACATAGTTGCGATGAATAAATATATTTGTTCGTTCATAAACTTCCTTCATCCCAAATTTGTTTTTCAAGTTTGAAAATTCTCTTTACATTTGTCCCACCAACTAACAACCAACTTTTTTTTTGTTAACTTAAATTAAATAGCGGACATTTAAAATATTATATTATTAATGTTTTTTTCAGTTATTTTTTGTCGAATTTTCGTCTTCTCAAAAGTAACTCATCTAGAACATTTAAATGAAAATCAAGAACATAAATAACAAACTTAATATAAAAAATTATAATACAATACTTATATAAACTCTAAAAAAGAGTGTGATTCAAAGACGAAATCAAACATAAAAAACCTCATTCCGGTCATAAAAATGTCAACCCCTTTGAGACTTTAAAGGAGAGAAAGATAAACAAATTCATATAGATGATGGATATCATGGACCACCTTTTTGTTGAAATGTTTTATAATATGAACTAAAGATGCCAAAAAGCGTTAGAGGCTATTAGCTACACTACTAGAAAACTGGGCATTTCCGGCGGAAGTCAAAAAAGTCAACTTTTATTGACTTCCACCGGAAATTCGTCGGAAATCCGCCGGAAATACTAAACCGGTTACATTTCCGGCGGAATTGTTAATTAAGTGTTAATTAATCTTTAAAAATTAATTAATAAGTGAAAAAAATTTAAAAAAGATAATTTCCGGCGGATTTATCCGCCGGTTTTTTTTAAAAAAAATAATTCTTTTAGAAAATTAATTATTTTTCCGGCGAGAAATATTTTCTGGCGGATTTCCGGCGGAATTTTCCGCCGGAAATTTAAAAAAAAAATTAAGGATTTGTTAAGTTAATCAAGATTTTTTTTTTAAAAGGGCGAAATAACTTTTTCCGGCGGATTTCCGACGGATTTGGCCGCCGGAAAAAGGGGTTTTTTTGTTAGTGTAGGAAGCCGTATCTCTTCAAGCTTTTGAAACTAGTTTTTAAACTCTTTTTCTTCTATTTGAATAATCAAAGATTTGGGATAGTCTTCTTCATCACATATCTTCATGATTCAATGTTATGTCATTAATGTGTAGTGCTTGTGGAATACCTTGATAACTTACATTTGAAGAAAAGATTCAAATGCTAGAGGTTTGTAAGAATATAACGTTAACACCTTCAACTAATCAAGCAAATGATGTTTACACAAAAATTATTTGCTTACCGAATACTGAAACTATTGGTATGCATACGAGAACTAAAATAGTTCTTCTTGCATTTTTGAAACATGTTCCAATAAGTTGGTGTTGAAGTAGATCCACTTAGTATACTTAACATACAATCAGAAAATGATAGACCGACCATTCAAGGAGCACGGGTTTCATCGGAGATTGTTTAGCCTCGCATAATAATAGTGATGAAGACTTTCATCGGAGAGTACCGACTTAACCTATATTGCAAGATGTATGTAAAAAATTTACATATAAGAGAGAAGAAAATCACAATTTAATGAAGAGGACGCTACAAAGGTTGTATGCATATGGAAAGTTGGGGTTATGCTAAAGCTTAAGATATATTTAAGAAAATGGAAATTAGAAAGTTTACTAGGAAATATGGAGAGTTAAGGGTTTAAAATGCATGTAAATTTACTAAAAAGGCTTGTGCATAATGGAACACACATTTATTATATAGGGACGACATCGTCTTTTTCTTACATTAGACATTTTATAAAAATCAAAAAATTTAGAAAAAAGAGAAATAAGGATTCTAACATTAAGAAATGTCATGTAAACAATGTTGGGTTTTCCTTTAATATATATATATATATATATATATATATATACACATACACACACTACCATTTTATGCATCGATTTCAAAAAACTCTTAAAGACAATTCACAAAGCACAATGTACAACCATTTTATACATAAAGTTCAAAAAAAACTATGAATTACAACTAATAAAGCATAATGTACCACCACCAATGTTGAAGCTTTGAGTTTCCCTTTCTTCGTTGAAGCTTTTTTCATCACCTCTTTACAACTTTCCTCCACCCATTTAGTAACTTCAAACCATTCTTTCTTGCTTCTTGTTTCTTCCTTCCCTAGCTCTCACCTGAAAATTGTTTCAATTTTTCTTTATTGTGAACAACATCATCACTCAGAGGTCTCCGTATTTGGTGTCTTGTTCAAGATTCCGATGGAAACAAAGATACCTACATAAAACCGTGTGGCATCGATCCCCCCTCTTTCCCTCAATCACATTCGCATAGCAAGCTTCTTCTATTCGACTTTGATTTGAAAGGGTTTTGTATTTAGGCAAAAAGTCCAGAACCCACTTTTAAAAACACCAATGTAAAATACTGAGGAGGTATTTTTGTACCAAATGATTGAGGCTAGCGACCAGGGGGGGGGTCGAACTCGGGATATGTCTTGTATTTGGATAAAGTCACTCCGCCTCTTTATCAAAATATTAGATTTGTATAAATCGGTTTAATCCATTTTATATGAGTATTTTTTATTTACATCTATCAGATTTAAGTTTGAGAAATTTTAGAGATTTGAAGGAAAAATTGTTTGACTCCTCTAAAATAGAGGAGATATAATGGATAAATCTCAAAATTTGGAAGAAGAAAAAAAATAGCCTACATTTTGAATATGTTCTAAGAATTGGTATAATATATATAGCTTTACATATAAAACTATATTATATTGTTTAAGTGTATTTTTATAAAACAATACATATTTATAAGTTCTATATATGAAATAAATGCATATTAAATAATATAATATTATTTTACATACGAAAAATTAGTATCATCTTGAATTTTAATTATGAAATTAATTCTTACTAATCTCAACATTTATAATTTAATTTTTAAATAATAGTGTTTGCAAAATCAATTTGTGTAATAGAAAAAACAATTTGATGCATTTTGGCCTATAATTATAATGTAACATGTGTATTTTAGTAGATGTAATTTTGAGGTTTCTGTTCATATATACTTAACCTAAGAGAATAACCCATTTGATATCTTGAGTTGTTTTATTTTTAGTTTTAAGAAGTTAAGAAAAACTCAAAATCTGGACAAGTTCCTTCATGCCAATGAACATAGGCTTCACGTCCAGGCAAAAAGTAGGGACCTGGGTTCGGGTGACTTGCACCACGCGACCTTGGTTCGCGGGGCCTGGTTGCGTACAACCTGCAGCCTCGTAACTTGATTCCCTTTGCTCTTTCCTTCATTACTCTTTCACCTACTCGTTTCTCTTTCATTTATTTACAGTCCTAACTCTTTTTATTCCCCCATATTGAAGTTATAACTCACAGCATAGGTTAGAAATCTCGGTACTCCTTATCACAAGCAGCCTCTTAACTGTAGAAACAAACATGTTGCAAACCACAAATGAAAAGATCGTGAAACAAAGCAGATCGAATATGAGATAAGCCGAATAAATAAGTATTCAGACGACTGATCTATAGTTATATGCAATAATAGAGTCACTTGCATTAGTTTATCAAGTGTTAGGCAGATCAATCTAATAAAACATCATTATGAGATCATATCATATTCTTTGTTTAGAAGAAGCAAACATCTTATGTCTATAATTTAATAAATGAATGATATGCCAATGTGCATAAAAAAACCAAAAAAAGTCGGCACTTTTTAGACTTATATGTGGGATAATAAAAAGGGTAGAAAACAAGAAAACAAACTAAGCCAAATAATAAAAATCCCACTTGGCGAATAGTATTCGAATTTCTAACAAATTTAAGAACGTATATACTTAATAAACAATGACTCGAAATTTGTGTGTGTATATATATATATATATATATATATATATATATTAGTTGTGTAACCGTGCAATGCGGCTGGAGCCGTGAATTTTAACGATTTTTAAGTCTCACTAGTTTTATTAGAGAAAATTTAATGATGATATAAGTTACACTTGGTCTTTACATATTAATACAATTTGAATAAATAAGAGTTATGTTTCTAATTACAGTTTATAATCCAATATATTTAAAATCCAACATATTTAAACGACTCCACAAATGTGTTCGATTTACATAAAGAGAAAAGAATCAAGAGATCGAGAGCGGCCGAGAGTTCTAGAGCAATTGAATATGAGAACTTTTAATAACTCGTGGTGAATATCAGTTTGAATCTCACCTTGTGGGATGACATGAGTGAAAGATGTCAAAAGTATCTTGGAAACATAAATAGAAAAAGTAATAATGTGCATTCGTAACTTACACTATATTTTATTTTAATTGTAGATTAAGAGATTTTAAAACTCAATGCATAAAGTATAAGTACTTAATGCATTATGAGTTATTTTTTGAACTTTTAAGACTTTATGCATAAATGTATAGTACTTTATGTATGAAATATTGTTTTTAAGACTTTTGATAAATCTGATTTATAAGGTAGTATATATATATATAAATAAATGACATCATATAACTCATTCCTCACTAATATACAAATGACATCATATAAATGTTTATATTAAGATATAAATGTTTACTTTTCTATATTAGTCTTGAGGACTTTGTTGTTTCATTATTATTAAAACTGAAAATGTCTTTATATTAATTAAGAAATATATAATATATGTGTTTGAAGGAGACTCATCTAAGTCGCATGATGTCGGCTTGTGTTTCCTCTTCACTTTTTCCTATAAATTAAGACGGTGTCTTTTAGTGAAAAAGAACATTGGAAAAATCCCCCAAAAGAATCTATCAACAAGATGATAGATTACATTTTTTAAATATATTAATGTAATCGTAATCTTGTCTTTATTCAGTTTTCATCGTCTTATAATCATTCTGATTTTTGGGTAATTAACGTTGTGCGAATTATCCTGAAGAAGAAGATGATGATTTTTCGAAGGGAGGAGCTTTACTTACTTATAAACAACAACTATGCAATCATCTTGGTTGCACTGTTTTTGGGCTTTCTTACGCCTTTCCTTATCAAGAAACTGACTAAATCATCAGATGCCATCCCCGGATGGCTCGGTTTTCCTCTCATTGGTGAAACATTCTCACTTCTTTCGGCTGCAAATAGTTACAAAGGTTGCTATGATTTCGTTCGTTGTCGGAGATTACGGTAATTTGAAAGTATTTATTGTTTATTATTTTTTGGGAGGTTCAAATAAAGCTAAACATGTTCATATATGAAACAGTGATAGAAAACCATTTGAATATGTGTATGTGAACTCATATAATTAAATAATCTGTAATTGTTGGTTCACATATGAATCTTCAAATAAGTATTTTTCGGATTTTTTTCAATGATTTACGTGGAAACTTTTTCTCTTACTTTCTCACGATATTTAGGCTTCTTATTTGAACAAGCCCTTTACGATACCACATAACTCATGCGAACTCCTTAGCTTTGCTTGTGTTTGAACCTTTGACCTCTTGGAAGGCTGTGCTCTACCTGTAACTCGGATTGTCAATGACCATTTGGTAATCTAGATCTTTTTCTTGAAATGATGGATTAAATATGTCTACAGGTATGGAAAATGGTTCAAGACAAGATTGTTTGGCAAAATTCATGTTTTTGTCCCAAGTGTTGTGGGTGCGAAAACGATTTTCTCGAATGAATTTCGGTTATTCGACAAATGTTTGGTGAAATCAATGGCGGATGCTGTTGGGAAGAAAAGCTTGCTTTGTGTACCAGTCGAGAGCCATAAACGAATCAGACGCCTTCTTTCGGGTCCTTTCTCTACGGATTCTTTGTCCAAATTCGTTCACAAATTTGATAAGTTGGTCTCAGAAAGATTCAAGAAGTTGGCTGAAAATGGTAAAAGTTTTGTGGTTCTTGATTTCACCATGAAGGTAATGTGGGAGCTTTTAGAACACTTTTAAAATAGAAGATCATATCAGCTTTTTGACTATATTTTTGAAAGTCGTCTTATGAACACATCTGATCATTCAGATACAATTCGATGCAATGTGTGATATGTTGATGAGCATCACGGATGAATCTTTGCTGAACGAAATAGAAAAAGACTGCACAGCTGTTTCCGATTCGATGCTTTCGTTTCCGGCCATGATTCCTGGCTCTAGATACTACAAAGGAATCAAGGTAGACTTTCCCGATTTCATATTTTCTCGAACTATTTTATACAACTTAAGTTTATAGAACAAAACAATCTACATAAAAGTGTTACAATATGTTGATAAGGACGAATTTTTATGTCTAAACAACTTTTTATGACATTTTGAAGTACTAAAAATCATTAAAAAAAACTTGTTAAGGACGTTCAAAAGTCTTCTATTAACTTATAGTAACACTTTTTTCATGGAATGTTTGGTCTTATAAACTTAATCTCGTAAAAACCGGCATATTTGACATCCTATAGGGTGCATTAGGTACCCAAAATATGAAGTTTATGTAATTTCTGATTTTTATTTTATACCTTTTTCCGTATTATATTTTGTTATTGGTCTTTAATATTTACATGATTTAACCAAAATATAGAAAATGTATAAAAAAATGAAATTTGAGTACGGTAAAGTGAAAATTAACAAATGTTAAAATACAATAAATAAATTTAAAGAGTGAATAAAATGTAAACAAAGAGGCGTCTATGATGTTTTAGGAGGAAAATAGGTTTTATTTTGAGGATATAATTGACAAAATATAGACTTGTTCATTACATCCTGTTCCATGGGATGGAGATGGAACTCGTCTGTTCCACTTTGTTCAACTCTGGTCCTATTTAGTCCACATAAAAGTCATGTCGAACGTGGAACAAGCGATCTCTGTTTTGTTTTGTGTTGTCCTATCCAGTATAAACAAAAACATGATTTTCTTACAGTAGTTGCTAAGATAGATGGATATCTATGCAGGCACGTGAAAGACTCATGAGCTTCTTCGAAAAAACAGTTGCTAGTAGACGGAATAGCAACGAGGCTCATGAAGATTTCTTGCAGTCGATGTTAGAAAGAGATTCATTTCCAGCCGACGAGAAGCTTGATGATTCGGAGATCATGGATAACATATTAACATTGATATTAGGTGGGCAGAGTACCACCGCAGCTGCAATGATGTGGAGTGTTAAGTTCTTAGATGATAATAAACATGCCCAAAACATGCTAAGAGTAAGCAATTACAACCCAACTTATACTATATCAAAATCGGTTTTATATGACATCAAATATGTCTAAATATCGCAATATACTGCTTTATGGGTTTAAGTTTATAGGACCAAACAATCAATCGTAATTCGTGCGTCCTAAAAATGTTGCATTAAGTTGTTAGGATGTTTTTGAAATGAAGTGCCCTATTCAATTTTTTACGACACTTGGGTTTATAAAACATTTTTTCCAGTAATGTCATATAAAAATACTAAGAGTACCTCTTTTTTAAAAGCTATCCTAAAAAACTTGTCAGGACGTCTTTTAACTTTCTATGTACGATTTTTAGTCCTATAAAGTAATTTACTGCGATATGTGCACATGTTTGACATGCTATAAAGCCGATTTTTGTATACTGTTATGTTGTATAGACTGATATCTAGCACACAAAATGATCAAATTTAAGTGATATTACAGGAAGAACAGTTATCGATACTTGAAAATAAACCAGAAGAGGCTTTTCTTTGTCTCGAGGATCTCAACAAGATGTCTTATGGCTCAAAAGTTACGATTTTGTTTTACAAAGATGGATAGTTTAATTGGAGTTGGACATAATTAATCGTGTTTTTCAGGTTGTCAAAGAGACATTAAGAATGTCAAATGTGTTGCTATGGTTCCCTCGTGTTGTTCTTGCCGACTGCAAGATTCAGGGTAAGTGCTAATCTGCTTTCTTGATAATGCATTACAACAAAATCGGCTTTATACGACGTTAAACATATCTAGATGTCTTAACATGTAAGTTTATAACACTTAAGTTTATAGGACAAAACAGTTGTATATCATATCTAAAAGTGTTACAATAAGTTGATAGGACACTTTTAAACGTTTTAACAAGTTCTTTAGAATAATTTGAAATAAAATGTTGTATGAACTTTTTACTGTACACATTTATTACAAACCACCTTCTCAAATAATATCATGTAATAAGACTATTATGAGATTTTATTTCAAAAGTGTTCTAAAAATCTTGTTACAAGTCCAAAAACGTCATCTCAACTTATTATAACATTTTTATATAGAATGCACAATTATTTGTAGTATAAACTTAAATTTATATAAAGCAGTCTATTAAGATATTTAAATATATTTGGCATCCTATAAAATCAATTTTGTTATATATATATATATATATATATATATATATATATATATATATATAACATGTATAAGCTGGTTTATTACTCTTTGATTATGGTGGTGCAGAGTTTGAGATCAAGAAAGGATGGCATGTTAATATTGATGCTACTCATATACACTATGATCCAGAATTGTATAAAGATCCTTTGCACTTCAATCCATCAAGATTTGATGTATCAAAATACCCTTTTCATTTCCAATATTTAATCGATCAATTATATATGATTTACTTGTAAAATTTGACAAGATTTATACGTTTGTAGGAAATACAGAAGCCATACAGTTACATACCGTTTGGATCAGGGCCTAGGGTATGCTTGGGGATCAATATGGCAAAGCTAACCATGTTGGTGTTTTTGCACAGGCTAACTAGTGGATACAAGTGAGTGAATGCATTCAGCATGTTTGTTTTTATAATTAAAACACTTAGATCCAAGAATGTCATATAAAAAGACTCATACAACGATTTGTTTTCAAATTGTTCTTACAAACTTGTTAGATCGTCCAAAAGTGTCATATTAACTTATCGTAACTCCTTTAGATACACAATTTTTCCTATAGTCAAGTCTATTAGAATATTTAGACATATTTGACTTTCTATAAAGCCGATTTTGTTGCAGTGATGTTTCTTTTTTCCTGCAATCATTCTTTAATTTTTTTGTTCATTTTGTTAACTGGTTTCATCTCTGTAGTTGGACAGTCGACGACCAAGATCTTAGCCTAGAAAAGAAATCTCCCTTTCCTAGATTGAAGAGTGGAGTTCCGATTACATTAACGTCTTTAAAAGATGAGATTTGAGGAAGAAAAAAATTCATGTATAATTTTCTTTTCGCATCTCGGCCACGATTCAATGGGTCATCAGAAGTTCAGAACCATTCATCCGCATAAAATTCTCGTTGCCAAGATTTGTTGGATGTTGATAAAGTAATGATGTGTCTTCATGTGATTGGTGGGATAAGGAGGGATATTTGATTTGGAAACAGAATATTTGTATTCGCCAATAAGGTTTTGTATGTCTCTTTCCGTTTGGTTAGATCCTTATGTATGTGGTTACCAATAAAAAAATTTATGCAATCCGTTTATGTATTCGTTTAAGTGAACACAATGTCGGACTTGTCTAGTCCTTAACCTGTTCTAGGCTGAAAACTAGGAACGATATGAGTTGATTGTCCTAACGGTCCGAGACTGTACATGATTTTTTTTGTATTAATTTTTTAAAAAAAGTAGGTTTCTTTTCATCTGCACAAACAACATTTCGTTACCCAATTTTCGAAAATTATCAATTGTAAGTGCATATGACCGACTTAACTAGGTCTTTGAAGACCAGACATCTGGTCCTTAACCGATTGAAGCTCGAAAACTAGGTACAGTTTTGGGCTAAGGCTGAGCTCATGCTTAATGAATTTTAAACCATAAAGATGAAAACCGTAATTTTTAATAACGAAAGTCATAAAATTTTAATAAACCAATGGAAAAAAATCATAGTTTACTCAATTAAAAAAATAAGCATGTTATTGGGCTTTTTAAGTTGGATATATAGAGAGGCAAGCAGGCCCATTTCTGCCTTCTATTTTCAAGACTTTGGTGTTAGAAACCTTTGTTCCAATTTATTTATATGTCTATGCAAAATGCTTCTTTTTACCGAGCTCTAAATTGATCATTTATATTAAACTAAAAGGGTATTCGTACAATACAGTAAGATATATTTCGTCTTTTTTGTCTTAGTCAATGTTATAATACGTTTTTATGTGGTTTTGAGAAAACAATAATATTTTTATTTTTGAATAAAATATAAATACAAAGATATATCATAAAAATTTGAAAAGAATATTGATATTGGTACCAAACTAACTATTTAAAGTTGCTCTTTTATGTGTATTTCTTTAATTCATTTTTTTTATTTTTGTTAATAATATAACTTTTTATAAAGATAATAATTAAATATTATATTAGAAGTCAATGATTATCTTAATTATATTTTAGATTTTTTTATTATTAGAGTGTTTGGGATTGCTTATTTAAAACAACTTATGTTTTTTTGTAAAAATGTTTATTAACTTATGTGGTGTTAAACCAGAGTTAAATAAAACAGGGTTAAAATTGTAAACTGATAATAAGCAGTTTTTCATAAGTCATGAAAGATTAACTTATCAAAAACAGCTTATTACCGGTTTGGCACCAGTATAAGCAGTTTTTTTTTCTTATCCAAACACCAGAAAACAGCTTATCACCGGTGCCAGACTGAAATAAGTTAATAAGCAGCTTTTATAAGAAATCCCAAACACCCCCTAAAAATGAGATGTTTATTATTTATTTAATCATATTTATCTACAGTTAGTTACACGAATTCAAACATGGAGCTTTAATAAGTTATACTTACGCACAACTTACTTATAATCTTGAATTATAAGTAATAATAAATAGTACTTCGTGCATAAAAAATGATTTTTAAGAGTTTTTGTCAAATGCTTTATAATATAGCATAGATAATTTGTTTTGGCCTGAATTTAAGTCAAGACTGTGAGGAATTTAAGTCAACGAAAATAAAATAAAAAAGCAACATTTTCAACCATGTCGTTTACAAACAGCCCAAATAAATTGTATTGATCATCCAAATTCCATCAGAATTCACAAACCGTTGGCTTCTAATTAATCAATGTAAAATAACGGTATCTTTAATCACATAACCCTCATTTTATTACATCGTACGATACAAATGAGTTGCACATATAAAACACGAGATACAATATGATAATTATGTACACGCTACATTTCTCTCCAGATCATAGCTTTCTAAGAACAATAATAAAACTTACGGGCCTAATATCTTCTACAACCATCTCTTCATCAATCATTCTTCCATAAGTCTCAAATAAATTGTCGAGAATTTCTTCCCCGAAGTGATGGGAGATCATCGATTCTTGGATCGCCCGAACAGCTCTTGCCACCACTGTTCCATGGCTCATACAAGCCTTGGAGTTCCGTTCGATTTCAAACATTTCAAAACGATCAATTTCAAAAGACGTCTCTTTCTTCACTTCCTCCTCTAATTCATTCTTCGAGGGTGCGTAAAAGTGGGTGTCATACTGGTCGACTTTTTCTTGCGTAACATCCCCCTATGTGAGCCATAATAAGACAATATAACGGTTAGTTTCCACCATTGATGTTAAGGGTAAAGTCACACTACAACAAAATCGGGTTTATAGGACACTCTCAAATTCTAAGTGTCCTAATAGACCTTTTTATAGGACTTAGTTTATAGGACCAAAAAAATAAAGTGTACTATCTAAAGGTGTTGTAATAAGTTTATATGACGCTTTTGGGCGTCTTAACAAGTTTTTTAGGACATTTTTAATACAAAGTGTCGCATTAGCAACTTTATAGGAAACTTTTGAGAAAGTGTCCTATAAACTCATATTTTTTTATAGGACACTTGTTTTTATAGGACAATTTTTCAAATAGTGTCCTATAAAGTTGATAATGGGAAAAGTGTCCTAAAAAACTTATTACGACGTCAAAAAAGTCATATAAACTTATTACAACATCTTTAGATATGACACTTTATTTTTTTGGCCCTATAAACTAAGTCCTATAAAGAGGTCTATTAGGACACTTAGAATTTGAGAGTGTCCTATAAACTCGATTTTGTTGTAGTGAGATCAGTACCCAGGGGCTGCAATCGAATCCTGGACTTATCTTCTATCCAGATAAAGTCTCTCCATTCATTTGTCAATTGAGTACACGTTTGAGGCTATGTAATTATCATATAACATGGGCAGCTTCTTTACACTAAAATCATATGTGATTCGCATAAATTTAATTTGCCCGCCACCTGAGGTCATGGACCAATTTGCTTTGCGTTGACCGTGTTCAGTAATCGCATGTGATTTCAATGTAAAATCACATGTGATTTGATTGTTTTCTTATTTTGAATTTCTCATTTTACCCTCCCTCGTGTCTACGTATACATGACTTATAAATAAGTACCTGAGAGACCAATGTAGCAAATGATCGCGAAAGAAGTTCCCAAAGAAATGAGTTGCCTCTGTCAACATGACTTCGATCTCTTCTTCCTAACAAAATTAGCACCATTCGGCCTCCAACTATCAGTTCTTTCGACCTTGATCGGAGAAATAAAGAAAAATCTTCTTGAAATTGCTCGAAATACGCTTTAGACACTTCAAGAGGGCTCGATTTGGAGATGTATAAGCTACCGTTGTTAATTGACTTGCCTTGCTTGTCATAAAGTCCCGGTGGAACCTGAACATGTAGATTGTGTAGAACAATTCATAATCGGTACATAAATTCCCAATTTGTCCAATAGTTTGGTCATGTCGGAAATCTGTCGGTAATGGACATTACCGACGGGTTCCCGACAGTGTGGCTGTCGGTTGAAGTTTGTTTTCTAGTAGTGGTATAAGCGAATGGAAACTTACCCTAGATAGCCAGTGTAAGCTAAAAGAGGAGTAAATGAAATGTAGACACTTGTTCGGAAACAATCTTCCGTAAAAAGTGCCGGGATAACCAGCTATGAATACGCTGGAGTCAAATTTGTGGCCTCGACGATGCCTTTCATTGTTCAATTCTGTGTAGAAATCGGGCAAGATTTTGAAAATGGCATTGAAGTCGTTAGTCGGAAGATCGTTGAGGTAGATGCGATACTCGGGTGGTGGAATATTCAAGAATTTACGGGTCGTCTCGTCGACGACTTCAACCAGTTCTCGAATCGTGGATAACGTGTTTTGACCGCAAGAGCAACCGAGATCGGCTATGCCAATGCTCTTTGGTTTCATGGAGACATAGGTTTCTTCAAGGCTCTCGAGGGTTATGTGCTTCACCATATCCGAAGCCTTTTTCTACCAACAAAGAAGAAATAATCATATAATTGCACTCTATTTTCGTGTAATGTAGTGAGATTTGTACATCTATATTTCGAGAATAAAAATTTAATGTAATTTCTCATTTTAAAAAAGTTGGTATTTTATGAATTATTATGTCATAATAGTAGAATTAAACGTTTGATCTTTTATTTAAATGTTAAATTCTAAACATATTGGATAAATCTATACTATATTCTATAAAACATTTGACAAAAACTCTTAAAAATCATTTTTTATGCATAAAGTACTGTTTACTAATACATGTTACTTAAAACTAAAGATTACAAGTAGATTGTGCATAAGTACAACTTATTAAAGCTTCATATTTGAATTCGTGTAACTAACTGCATATAAACATAATCAAATATATGATAAACATCTTATTTTAAATATAAAAAATCTAAAATATAATTAGAATAATCATTAAGTTCTAACAAAATGCTTAATTATTATCTTTATAAAATATTATATTATTAAACCAAAAACAAATTATTTCATTATTAAACTTAAATTAAATTATAATAAAAAATAAATTAAAGAAATTACATAAAAATGAGAACTTTTAAATAGTTGATTTAATATTAACATTGATATTTTTTTTTTCAAATTTTTATGATATTTTCAAATTTATATTTTATTCCAAAATAAATTCATTATTGCTTTCTTAAAAACATATAAAATCGTATTATAACATTGACAAAGACAAATAATAAAATAGAACATTAAAATCGAGATGTATCTCGCTGCATTACGCGAGTACCCTTCTAATATTTTATAACATAATACTATAATAAAGTTTTTAGATAATATGTAAAATATAAATCTGTGTGTCTTTATATGGTGTTTAACATGTTATTTAAATAAAAATGTTTAATTATCGATCTATATCGAAAATGATTTAAAATAAATTTAATGTTCAATATATGTTTTCAAAATTGATTTTATTGTTGAGTTTCGTAGTAACAGATCATATCACGTCACAATAAAAACAAATTCTTACTGTCTATTAGATTTAATGTCTAGAAATCGTATACAACTCAAAAACTATTTTAAACGGTTTTTAGATCCAATAGTTATAAGATACATTCACGTTACTATCTCTCTCTTTAATTTAACACCGCTAATATATATATATATATATATATATATATGATTTTATTTTATATAAAATAGAATGATCAATGATTATTTTCAATAACGTTCCTTCAATTATCGTTACTCATTATATAATCTAGAGACATATGAACCCCACCACTTAGAAGAGATTAACAAGCGATGGAATTAATGGACAAACAGAAACAGTAACCAGATATTTTCAATCAAAATAACTGCTTCTTATAATATATCAAAATAAATGTTGAATTAAAGATAATAAAGTGATTGTTTTTTTTTTTTTTTGTGTGTAATTTGCGTTGCTCTAATTTTCTGTATCCATTGATTTTCAATTTCAAAATTAGAAGAAAATATTTATATTTCTTTTAAAAACTGGTTTAATCGCATTCGTTAAATCATCTTAATCCGACGGTTTGGACAGGTTATTCAATTCTTTTATTTTTTTTCAGGAGTCTCTCGCAATCTCATCCTTATACAAGCCACATATTATTTATCGAAATCTTTAAAAAGGATTATTGTTTTTTAATATCGTATAAATAACATTCATAAAGTAAAATCAGTAAAATAATACAGATAAAAGTGTGATTACCTGAAGAGATGAATTTTGGGCATAGCTATTTTCACCAAGTCCACCATTCATGTGGAAAACTTCCTTGACATCCATTGATTTTGAAATTGAGTGTGAGATCCATGTTCACCACCTCTACACCTCTTTTATACTTGTGTCAAAATGCTTGATGGCCTAACTCATATATCCCACTCTAAAACCTATCCCAAAAGTTTCGGAAATCAATCAAAAACTCTTATTTTATGTCACTATTATTCCATTTATATATATATATATATATATATATATATATATATAGTATCTGATGCTTCCTTGTGTCTACTCACATGTCAAGTTCATTAACGTCAAGATGCATATTTGTTCCGTGACATTTTTATGTTTTTATAAAAGGTTATGCTAAAATTTGGTTTGGGCAAGTGTGTTTAAGGACCAATTACACGAGATTGGTCATAAACTTTAATATTGGATTTTGTATTTAGGCAGAAAGTTTGGAACCCGCTTTTAAGGACACCAATGTAAGAGACTGAGTAATCGTTTGGTTTGCAGAATTTGTTGGAATTGCAATGAGAAATTCATTTGACCAAATTCTAATTCTTTTGCTTGGTTCATTTTTGAAATGGATGAAATCCTTCAAATTCCATTGAATCCCACAAATTAATGAATTCATCATTTCTTGATATAATTGAAGTAATTGAATTCCATCACCATCTACCACGAATATGCTACTATTGTTCGTCATGCACCACCCCTAACACCCCACCACCACCATAC